TCTATACATGCCGTCAGAAAGCCATCAAAAAAGTGAGAACATATTGAATAACATAGACAAATTAACATCACTATCTAATGATCATTGTGAAATAGAAGAGTTTATGGAATATCCATCAAATCCAACAAATGAGGAACAAGTTGACTTTTCTATATCAGCGTTAGCAATTAACAAATCTCCACCTTTAAATTTTGATCATACATATGCCATTTCTAATACATCAGTAACTAATTTAGTTTCTGTTAATATTAATAATAAAGATAGTGTCATTTCTAATACACCAGCAACTAATTTAATTTCTGGTAATATTAATAATCAAGATGTCACAAGAAAAAAAGAGATAGGAGCTTTAGATATCTATCAAAATTTTCCATTTCAAAATCATTCTTTTCCAGGAGATCCAGATTCTGATGTTTTACCTTATCCAACACAAATCATAAAAAAAAATAAAACATCATTAAAACAAAAATATTTTTTGCTAACATCGAAAAGAAGCTATGGAGTACAAACATGCAGAAGTTAAAAATAAGTTACTCCAAGAAGAAAAGAAAAAAGAAAATATTATTTTAAAAAAGAAAAAGAATGAAGAAAAATTACTCCAAGAACAAAAAAAAAAAAAATACAAAGTGAAAAAAAAAAATTTATAACTGCAAAAGAAATGAAGATAAACATTTTCTTTTTAATCATTATTCGTTTAAATTTTGCTTTATTTTGTTTTAATTATTCGTTTTTATTTTGTTTATTGTCTTTAACTTGAATATTGATCTTTTAATATCCTAGTTATTGCTATGTTCTACTTAGTATACCTGACTAAACTTGTAATAAGTAAACAAGCTTAGTTTCGGTCTTTTATTTCTATATTATGCCTTAATCTAGCCGATGGCCAGAATTAGGTAAGAACCGGCCAGAATTATATCCAAGTGGCCAGAAATAGGTCTTTTAGCGTACGTCTAAAATATTGGTGCTTAAGCATGCTTGTCTAGCCTAATTTAAAAAAAAAAAATTGTAATTATATTCATCTTTGAATATCCTATTAATATTAAAATTGTTTTGTTTATATTACGCTATGCGAATTTATATTTAAAACAAATAAGTAAGAAGTGGCCAGATTTTGGTCAGTTTGCCCTAAAGCGTCTTTATTATTTTCTTAGTAAGTTGGTAATCATGGCGGATATATTTTGAAAAAAAACTGTTTCAAATGCTATTGATTCACATTCATAACATTAAATGTTGCGAAAAAAATTGTTTACAAAACGAAATGGTTTGAATATCTCACCAGTTTAATTTCGTAGTTGAACTTTTGGCTTGAAAATGCCCTGATATAAATGTTTTTATGCGATATTTTAAAATGGATCAAGGTTTTGACAAAACTTTTGCAGCTTCAAGGTATATTTTTAACTATGTTTTTACGGACTATATTTGTAATAAAAATAACTAGCCTTTTATAGCTGTAACTAGTTTACTTATATACAGCTGTTTCTGTGCTTATTGTTTTAAAATTCTTATATCATTTAACTAAAACATTATTATTTTATTAAACAGGTTAATACTATAAATAATAAATCATCTGATTGTGCCAATCTTAAACAGTAAATTATTGTTGTAAGATATAAAGGCAATATAATACTCATAAAGATTTCTTAAGGTTTGTTAACTGTCCTTAATTATTTTAATGTGCCCTTAGTCAGAAAATACAGGCATGTTTAAATAATTATCTTTCTATTGAAAAAGCAAAGCTATTTATGTTTGTTTTACTTGTTGGGTTTGAAAACAGAAAAGTCAAAAAAAAGGTATTTTTCTTTTAGTCTCCTCATAGTTGATGTTTGAATTTTATTTAAATGTAACTTTAGTTTTTACCAAAATTTGATGGATTGAATTTTTTACATCGCTGCAACTGGTCTAATATTTCTTTTGAATTAGCTCTTACTTTAAAAATATAAGAATAAAAAAACTATAAAATGTGGAAAGCAAATCAATCAGATTTACAAATCTAGTTTCAGGAATTTCTAGATATCTATCATTCCAACTCTGCATTCAACCTTTATTTATGCAGTGTTGGATTATGAAAGCCTCTTTAAAAAGATCAGTCAAAACCATCTATCTAGTATTTTATAAACGAAACTCATGACAATGACTTATTTCCCCAACATTCTTGAATATTTCAAAGGTTTAATTCTAGGTACAATACCAAGAGATTAAAAACTTATTTAAGAAGTAGAGTGTTAAAAAAGTCATTGAATGAGCTAGCTTTAATGTCAATTTATACCGAAATGGTTCTTGATAAAGACAGGGTTAACAAAAAATTTTCAGCTTATGGAGAGAGATGTTTAAAGTTGCTATTTAAATAATTGGCTATGATTGAATAATAATTTTATTTATATGTGAATAAAATAATTGAATCTCTCTTATATTTGCAATCATTTTTTTGTTTTTTTCATTGTTTAATTTACTCTTAGAGCATCGTTTTTTATTTTTTATAAATGTTTAATAAGTAAATTTATTTTCTATTTTGTGTGCATTTCATAATCCTTGACATCTAAAATGTAAAATGTTTTAAAAATTGTTATAATCAGTGAGCAAACAATTATTTGTAGTATATTACAAGCTCGGAAACAACTGGCAAATTATTCAATCATTTATATCAATGTTTTGACTTGAATTAGAGGAAGTTTTCTACTAAAAATATAAAGTTCCGCGCAAAACTTTAAAATGTTTTGGGTTAACTAATATGGCGGCTGACTTTCAAAACTGGCTTCAGCGCATATTATATTAAGTATATACTACATCGTCTCCTGTTTGTAAAACCTCCTTGGAACTGTTGTGGGGACATTATCAAAATAAATTATAAAAAGTCCTCATCAATTCCGCATCTGCTAAAAAAGTTATTCAAGGTAAAAGGATAAAAACTTTTGTCGCTTTGATAGAGCATTTTATCATCTACAAAAAAAAAAGTTTCTGCAGCTTTCTTCTGATCTTGATTAAAGGCCGTTTTCCACAAGACGAAAAATTCGCGCGAAGCGAATTTTTTCGTCGACAAGCATGCGCAGATTAAACATTTTTTGATATTTTTTTTTTTGCTACAGCGTTTCGCTGTAGCGAAAAAAAAAGTCGGTTTCATTTCGACTTTTTGCGAATCGCTATAACCGAAAACCAATCAAAGTTAAAATATTAATCACGTGATGTAAACAGTTAAAAAAATCGAAAGCAATTTTTTTAATTGGCAGCAACAATAATGAACAACAACAACAACAATGAACAAAATGCTCAACTTATTATTGATTTACTAAAAATTCAACCTGAACATTTGCAAGCATTATTAAGTTCATCAAATAAAAATAAAATTCAAAGTTCCAAAAGTTTCACTTTACAAGAAGGGTATCTTCGTTCAAAGTTGAAACATCTGTTGCTTCATACAGTAACAGTTTTTCCGCAGATGTTTTCCTATCATGATAGATAAGAATGTTTAAAAAAATAAATGCTAACCTCTGATATCAGAGGTTAATTAGAGATAAGAATGGTTATCATGATAGATTATCATGATAGATAAGAATGTTTAAAAAAATAAATGCTAACCTCTGATATCAGAGGTTAATCAGAGGTTAGCATTTATTTTTTTAAACATTCTTAAGAAAAATTATATCAAATACTATTTTTGAATAAATTGTATTAAAAAATTATACTTTAATTCAATTATTTACCATATTTTCAGATTAGAAAGTATCCATGTTTGGATACTTTCTAATCTGAAAAACTTCACCAGTCATACAAAGATAGAAGTGTTAAAATGAACGCTTGAAAAGAAATTTCCACATCTTTTAAAACAGAAAGTAAGTAAAAATTGTAATTATAGGTTGCAGATAAACATTAGTTGTATATACATACACTTAAATGTTTATTTTTTGTGTGTTTCAGTTGAAGTTTTGCAAAAAAATTGAAAAACCTAAAATACTTTAAAAAAATGCTTCGACAAACGTAATAAGATGACTAAATCAGGTGCTGGTGCATCAGCTTTACCTAAATGCAAATACTATGAAGAAATGTTATTTTTACATGATAAGAACAACAATATTTCAACTCAAAGTAATTTTGAATTAGAAGAAACTATAACTGAAAATGAAGATCAGATTGCGACTCCAATTGCTGTAAAAGCCAAAAAAAGGAAAATTAACTATGAGGCAGATAAAAAAAAATAATGCAAGAACTTTCAAACTTTGATAACGAGCTAAAAAAAGTTGTGACTGATAGTCAATGTGAAGACACATTATACTGCCAAAGTTTTCCGATATTGAAATCTTTACCGCTTAAAAAAAAAAGAATAGCAAAAATTAAAATATCTCTATTGTTGTATAAGCTTGAATTTGATGAAAAATGTGAATAAAAAATATTTTTTTTGTGTTATTTATTTTGTAAACAATGAAAAATATTGGTTTTAAATTTAAAACTTTTAGTCTTTTTGATAATTGTTTATTATTGACCATTGTTTATTAATGACCATTGCCAATTGTTGTTATTAATGACCATTGCCAATTGTTGTTATTAATGACCATTGCCAATTGTATTGTTTATTAATGACCATATTTTTTGAAGTTGTTTCTAATTTTTTGAGCATCTTTAGAATGATTATTACAAGCAGAACTTGAAATATCTTGTAATCCTTGTACATTGCCAATTTCTTTTCTCCATTCGCCAGGTATTTATTCGTTTTGACCATCCTGATCAATATAAGTATTCGGACAATAATCAAAATTAAGACTTTCCTACCTTTTTGACATTAAAAAATTGTGAAGTGCGACAACAGCTTTTGTTATAAGCACGACTTTTTTTGTTGAAGCAATAATAGGTCTTCTGAAAATCCGAAATCTGGATGCAGCTATACCAAATGCATTCTCAACTATTCTCCTGGCACGCGACTATCTGTAGTTAAATATTCTTTTTTTGTACGAAAGATTACAAAATGGATAAAGTTTCATCATTTGAGGCTTTAAACCAAATGCATTATCTCAAACAAACACGTAGGGCAATATTGTTTCAGTACCATTTACTTTACATGCTTGAGGAATGTCAAGCAGATCATTTTCAATAGCATAACCAAGTTGACTATTTGCATATACACTACCGTCACTTTGTCTTCCACTATTTCCTATATCTAATAGTGAAAATTGATGTTTTGCATTGCACACAGCCAAAAGAACAATACTATGTGTCTTTTTATAGTTATAAAACGATGAGCCAGAGCATGCAGGAGCTTGCATAACTACATGCTTTCCATCAATAGCACCTAAGCAATAGGGAAAATTCCATTTGTTCTTGAAGTCAGTAGCTATTTTTTTACATTTTTTTTCAGAAGATGGTCTATGTATTTCTTTTTAAAAAGTGATACCCATATGGCTCTACATGTTTCACTTATTAGTCTTCCGACAACTGAAGGACTCATGCGGTAGTTCATAGCTATTGTTTTCTGTGCCTCACCGGTTACCAAAAAACGCATTGTAACACAAAATCTTTCTGGAGCAGATATACAATCTCTCATATGTGTAGATTTCTTTCTAATCAACGGACACACCCAAGACAAAAGTTCTTCTAATATTGTTGGAGACATACGAAAATAACGAAAAAATAGTTTGTGGTCAAACAATTTTAAATCTTTAACAAGAAGATTATATTCTCCTTTCTGTTTACGATCTAAATAAAATTTTCTTATCCAAAATTGCTTCTTATACTTTTTTTGCGATTTGTTTCTTATATGCAATAAAAACTTTAAATAAAGCAATTTCTTTTTTAAAAGCATGCAGCGTAAATTTATAGCTGCCATTATTTATTATTAAGTAGCGCGAAAAAAGTATCGCGAAAATGTGGAAATCAAAACGGCGTTTCGTCTTGACGAAAAAATTCGCTTTGCGCGAATATTTCGTCTTGTGGAAAACGGCCTTAAAACAACAAAACAATGTAGTTTAAAGTTTTTTTTTATGATTAGCCGTTCTTTAATTAATTTAATTTAATTGAAATTAGGTTCTTATAATAATTATAAGAACATCACAATTGTTGTGATATGTTAAAAAAAATAAATAATAAGAATATTAGTTTATTATAATTTTTACTAATAAATATTTTTAAAAACATTTTTTCTTTAAAGCAGTTTTTTTTTATGAACCCTGTTATGAAAAATAACTAATATTATTAATAATAATAGTTATTTTTAATAAAAATAACTAATATTATTAACAATATTATTAATAATATTAGTTATTTTTCAAAACAGGGTTCATAAAAAAACTGCTTTAAAGAAAAATTGTATTTAAAACTGTATTTGTTTTTAATAAAAATAACTAATATTATTAATAATATTAGCTATTTTTAAAAACAGAGTTCTTAAAAAAACCGCTTTAAAGAAAAATTGTATTTAAAATTTTTTTTTACTTCTGATCAGAATTCAGCAGAATATTTCGGTTTTATAAATGCAAAGTATTGGTAAGTTACTTAAAGAAAGAAAGACATTTCACCCAAATTATAAAACTCGTCATTGGTTAGTCTTCGCTTATGCTTTGCTAACTCGCTGAAGCAACGTTAAATTTAAAAAAGAACTATTCCAAGAATAGCATTAAAAATAAGAGCTCATGAGATACGGTGCTAAAGTTATATTTACAACACCACCAACTTTAAAAAGAATTTAGTGCAATAACAAATCCAAACTATTACCAAATAGCAGGCCGGGTGTGTATAAGCTTACGTGTTCATGCGGTGGCGTTTATATTGGAGAAACAAAAAAGAGAATTATACAAAGAAGTATTGAGCATCAGGTAAACAGCATGAAAGGCAATTGGCATGCTTCCGGAGTCACAGAACACTGCAAGGACTGCCACGGTATATTTAATTAGATGCATCCGATAACGTTTGCACTTAATTTAAACTACTACGAAAGGAAAATAAGAGGGTCCAGTGCCGGCCTTAGGAGGGGGCGAGGTTGGGCGCCGCCCAAGGGCGCCAGGAAACTGGGGCGCCAAACGTTGTATGCAAACTTTATCAATATAATAAATAGAAAAAATAAGTCAACCTAAATTTTTTCGATTTCGATTTTCGATTTTTTGTTATTTTTTCGAATGTTTGTTTTTTTTATAAAAATAATTTCTTTAAATAATTTCTTTATTGTATCATTACACTGTTAAAAATTCTTTATGCAAAATTAATAATTTGATTAAAAGTGTTTCAATCATAGCATATATTTTGTTACTTAAATTCATTTTTTTACTTGTATCTTTCTCGGCGCCAATTATTTTGCGTTCCATTCATTTAAAGTTTAAATTTTAAACATTATTTTCGGTACGAGTTGCGAGCGCGTTGTTTATTAATTTGTAGAAGAAATTTAAAGTTGTATTTGTGATTCAAATTCAGTTTTTGTCAAGTTTTCAAATTTTGCGGTAATAAAAAGCAGGTAAGTATAAATAATGAAATTGTTTATGAATTATTAGCTTGCGAGTAATTTTTTATTTTGAAATTTTAGACAAATAGAAACTGTCAGCAGCAATCAATAGGGAGTATTCATAATAAAGAAAAAAATGTTTTTAAAACTCATAATAATAAGAAACCATCTGGTGCTCAATACAGAAAACGTAACGCAGAAAAAGTTGATAATTTGAAGAAAAATTATAAAAACTTGGAAATTTTTTTACATCGGAAAATAGTGATTGTAATAAAATAAAGGAAGAAGAAAATGTTGCGCATCTACTTAGTGATACATCAACCAGAGATTTTGGGCTGAATAAAAGCTTTTGTCGAGGGCAAGGTTACGATAACGGTGCAAATATGAAAGATAAAAAAAAAGGTCTACAAAAGCGAATATTAGATTTGAATTCTTTGGCTTTTTACCTTCCATGTGGAAGTAAGAATTTGCTAGAGCACTTAATTACATTATTTGTAAGAGTTCGTTCGTTTTCTTATGCCAAAGATGTTATTGAAAAGCATAAAATAAGAAAGAAATCTTGTAAGACTCGTTCATTGCGATGTGAAATTAAGAAAGCAGGTGAAGGAAATTGAACATAAAAGACTATTTTCATAGCCACATATCTTTTTAAAACATTAATGGCACAAACTACTTAAATTCTGTTTAAAAATTTACTTAATAGTTACTTTATATAATAAGATAATCCTTCAATGTTTGCAATGATCCAGATATGATAAACTTAGAGTTAGGGTCAATTATTTCTAACTTTTATTATACTTACATCAGTATATATATATATATATATATATATATATATATATATATATATATATATATATATATATATATATATATATATATACATATATATATAAATATATATATACATATATATACATATATATATATATATATATATATATATATATATATATATATATATATATATATATATATATATATATATATGTACATATATATATATACATATATATATATATATATATACATATATATATATATATATATATATATATATATATATATATATATATATATATATATATATATACATATATATATATATATTTACATATATATATATATATATATATATATATATATATATATATATATATATATATATATATATATATATATATATATATATATATATATATATATAAAACTAATTTCAATCAAAACACAAATACAACTTAATAAAATAACGGGCAAATGCTAACAACAACAATCTTTTTGTGCAGGTTCGGAAGTCCGGAAACGAGAAAAAACAGTATGAAAGAGTTAAAACAATACGCTATTGTTCGCTTCCAAACTATTCTTTCTTATAACTATGATGAAACTGAAACCAAAACTCCCGATATTGCACACGAAGCGCAAATATTAGCAGAGCAGAACTTTAATTGCATGGTACAATGTACTATTCCAAATAAACGTTGTTAGTTAAGCAATGCAAGCCAAAGACATGGATCTAGTACAGTGTTGAAAAAATGCATCACATTTTTGGAAAATTACAGAACGTTTGACTTTAAACAAGCAACGGTTGATGCCAAAGAGTTAGCTGAAGAGTTAAACATCAATGCAATATTTAAGCCGCTCAAAAGAGTACGACGAGTGAAACGTCATTATGATGAAAATGCTGCTGACGAACCAATTCAAAATCCCGCGAAGAAACTATAAGTGATATTTTTAAACCCTTTATTAGATACATGTCTGTCGTCAATAAATGAAAGATTTGAACAACTTAATGAATATGTAAATATATGGAGTTTTTTATTTAATTTGGATAATTTGCCCATCAAGAATAAACTTTTAAAATTGTGTAAACAATTACAAAAAAAATTAACTGTAAATACAAAATCAGAAATTGATGGTGCTTTGCTATGCGACGAACTAATAAGTGTGCAGTTTTTTATTAAAGATAAATTAAGCAATGTTGAAAATGAAATAAATACAAAAGAGATGACACCACTTTTTGTACTGAATTTTATTAAAAAACATTATCTACAAGTTATATTCAAATACAAGGATTGTTCTGCGCATTCTTCTTACAATACCTGTTACTGTTGCTAGTGGAGAACGTAGTTTTTCTAAACTGAAGTTAATCAAAACATATTTAAGAAATACCATGTTGCAAGATCGACTTAATTCTCTATCTATGTTATCAATCGAGCAAGATATAGTTGAAAATTTAGATTTTTCTAGTTTGATAAGAGATTTCGCGGACAAAAAAGCTAGAAAAGTTAGATTTTAAAATTTAATAACTCTTGTTTATATAGTTAGAGGTTTTATTATATGTTTAATAAAAACATTTGTTATTTTAAAAGCAGCGTTGCGTTGTCTATTTATTTAGTCACTCATTTCTATAAACCCATATCATGAAAAGTCTAAATTTATAATTTTAATAAGAAATTAATTATATAAGAAACTTGATGGACAATATGGATCTCTTTGCATTAAACTATATATTCCCTTTAGCACTCTTGTTCATCATTTTAGAGCATTGGTCTCGTTGTTAATGGTAACAACCCACCCATATATACCTAGGGGCGCGTTCACAAGTTTTGCCCAACCTGTCAAAAAAGCTAAGGCCGGCGCTGAGAGGGTCACTTGAGTTTAATTATGCCCAAGCAAACTATGAAATAAGACACTTTCCATCGCTTATGAACAAAGACAACGAAGTTAAAATTGCGTCAAATAGCTGGCGACCCCTTTTTAAAAAAATCATAGAAATTTCAAAATAGTTTCTCACTTTACGTCAACTCATCTTTGTAATGTCTTTTAAACGGTTTTTTACCTACGTTTTTTGTGAGATTCTTATTGTATTTTATTTTACGTTCTATGACGGTCTAAGCTAATCAGACTAAAATATTTCATAAATAAATTAAATATTAGTACTTAGCTGTATTTTATGTGTTATATACTAAATAAATGAAAAAGAACTTTATAAAATATGGGAATGTAAAATTAATGAAATAAGTAAAAATGCGAATTTTATTTTATTTATTTTATTTAAATTAGATAGTATTTCTTTTAGATTAAATATAATTTATATTTCTGCTTGAAATCCATAAAATGTATTGTAAAATAAACAATTTAACAGCAAACGGAAAATGAAAAATGTTACATCATTAACAACCATTAGAACTATGGTTCGCAAAAAATTTTACTGGTTCGCAGTTTGCAGTATGCAGTTTGCATGTTACCGACTACCTGAAATAAACGTTTTTTTGTTTTCTTTAACATCTTATATTTTAAATAATGTTATTAACAACATCTTATATTTTAAATAATGTTATTAACAATGATTTATCGATTCAATACGCAAAGCACGGTTGCTTAAACTCACCTAAAAAGCGACAAGTTATTGTACGCAAGTGCAGTTAGGTTAAAATTTTTTTTAGAGTTTTTAAATGGCACGGACCTTCGCTACAAAGTTAGTTTTTAGATGAATACTAATTTTTCTTAACTCGTGGCGTTTTTTATGATTTATAGATGGAGACTCACAATAAGAATTTGATTCTTCTTTGCAGGGTTTGTGGTTATTTAGTTGGGAAAAAAAAGTATCCTATTGGAACAAACCAGAGAAATAAAATTGAAAAGGTGTTTCATGTCTTGCTATCAGATGAGATAAAGAATGTTCATCCATCTAACATTTGTCACAAATGTTATGATACAATAAACAATGTCATCGACAATACTTCTTTTAAATATGAACTGGAAACCTCATTCTGATGAATGCTATTGTTGCCAACAGGCAGAAAAACTCAGTAAAGCCTTTACTAAAAGTGAAAAACTCAGTAAAGCCTTTACTAAAGGTGTAAATTTTACTAAATCAAGAAAAATGAATAAAAGACTTATTGGTCGCCCTGTTCACCAGGCTGGTGTTTGTGAAAAAGTTTGGTTGTTTTCAATGATTGCTGACGTTAAAAAAAACATTGTTGTAGTACACGACTCTAAAAAAGCTAAAAAAAAGGAGTTTAATCCACATTAACAGCTTTGTCAGTGTAATTTATGTGGTAAAATACCAAAACAACCAGTAACTTTAAAAAAATGCGAACACTTATTTTGTTTTTTTTGTTTAGTAGAAGATATAAAGATAAACCTTCTGAAGGAAACATTATGTCCAAAATGTAAAGTGTTTATTTTACCTGAAGATTTAGTAACCAGTGTTAAAACAAACTATATATGTAAAAATATGTAAAAAAAATATCTAAAAAAAAGTTCAATGTATTAAAAGAATACAACTTATACACTAATCATAAGAGTTTCTGCATTGCTAAATCATTAACAATAGCACAATCAACCCCAATGATATCATCATCATTATTATCTTCATTTGCTGATAATTCGGCTTCATCGTCAACTTTTAAAGTAGCATCACTGCCATCATCATTGACATCATCATCATTGTATTTATTTAACAGCAACATTTCTGATATTTTCAATCTAACTGCAGGTAATGATATTCCTAGAATAGTTGAAGATGCTGCACTACATATTCTTAAGCAAAAGATGGCTAAAGATGGTGGAAAAGTAGTTGATTTCAAAAGTGGAGGATCTAGAGTAATTAATTTTTTTTTCAATTTTAGCTAAATTTATAATAGTTATAAGTTAAGCAATTTTTAATTTTCATAAATATTTTTTTTAGCCAGTTGTGTTTTTTGAAATTCTTCAATTAAAAAACACATGGAGGTTATGTCTGGTACATCAAATGATGCAATATGCTGCCAATCATCAAAGCTGATAAAATCATTTCAAACAGAGACAAAGGGTTTGATATTGGATAATTTATATACTGAAGCAGTAGTAATTACTGCAAATAACATGGTAGCAATGAAAGCAGATTTGTGCATACCTTGGGAAAAGCTTAAAACAATATCAAAGTAGTTATATTTTTATATGAATTTTATTTTATATTAATTTTTTATAGCATAGAATATAGTTTTTTTTGTTTCTGTGTTTCAAGGTGGCTGAAGAGCTCTAATATAAATACAGCATCATATTCTTCACAAAGATTAGTTGCTGAAAAATTATCTGGTGATGACTTAATTGTAGAAAATGCACCATTTACTTTTGAAAAAGAAGAGAAAGGAACATATGAAATAAAATACGTATCTTGGGGCTATATTGAAAATTTACCAATGCATATATTAAGACATCTTGATCAATTAGAAAGGTGATTTTAACAACCAATAATTTACAATTTTGTTTTTAAATTAATTTTTTAAATTTTGTGTCATCTTTCGTTATGCTTTATTATAAATATTAATATTACATATATTGTTTATACAGCATTTATATTTAACATTTTTATGCTACAGGGATAACAGTATTAGAGTATTTGTTTTTGGAGACCATGAGTTTTTATGTGCACTCTGCGGAATTTCAGGAGCTACAGGTGATTTTATATCTTTATAAATAATTAATAATCTGTTTTTTGTATTGTTCACTGATTTTAAGTTATATAACTGTAGGCTAAACAATTTTAAATTCTTAAATTTAAAGAAGTTAATAACGATTTGTTAAACATTTATATACTGATAAAAAATTTAAAAAATCCCGTAGTCTAAGTATTTTAATTTTTATGACTGGCGGGTCATAAAAGTCTAAGTATAAAATTTTTATGACTGGCGGGACTCCAGATAAAAACAAGGACTCCAAACTCCGACTTTGCAACCCTGAATTGCATATATATATATATATTTTTTTATAAGCATTAGCTAACTTTTTTTGCTTACCTTAATCCATACAGCAAGAAAAAAAATGAAGAATGATGAATGAAACAATTGCTGCCCCATCCCAAACCCTCAGTCGATGTAGCAGCACTCCACAGCAAGTCAGGCTATTTGTCAGTTGATGTATGTACTGAAGCCCCCAGCAGCAGGCTATTTCAGTTTGACATCAGATTGCTTACTTTAGTACGCAATACTATTTGTGTATATATATATATATATATATATATATATATATATATATATATATATATATATAACTTTTGTAATTAATCATTATTATTTAGTTTGTAATTATTTCTTAATAAGAAATTCTTATCAATTTTACTTTAAGGGAGGCATTGTTGTCTTTTCTGTTATGCGACAGCAAGTGAAATGAAATGTGGTAAACATGAAAATCCTGAAATAAAAGATCGTACCTTGGAAGATTTATTTTCTGATCATAAAAAATTTATAGAAAGTGGAGGCTTAAAGAAAAATGTTAAGAATTTTTGACAATGTTATTGAAAAACCAATTTTGAAAATACCCCTTGATCAAGTAATGTTGTTTTTATTTGTTATATTAACTTTGCAGTATGGCTTTGTAATAGTAGGTTTTTAGTCATGTACCTTCGATATATATTTTTAGGTATCTTTACCTAGTCTCCACATGGCTCTTGGTATTTATTTAAATTTTTTTAATTTGTTTGAAGAAGAAGTGCATTAGCTGGATATTTTAATTGCTGCAGAAACATTAAAAAGCAACATTAATTTTTCAGAAGAATATACAGTTTTTGTATCAAAACAAAAACAGCTGTTAAATCTACAAGCTGAAATTCTTAAACTTGACGATCAAATCCATTTAATCAATGATGTTGTTTTGTTAGCAGCTGTTAACAATTCTGATACTATTTGTGTATATATATATATATATATATATATATATATATATATATATATATATATATATATATAACTTTTGTAATTAATCATTATTATTTAGTTTGTAATTATTTCTTAATAAGAAATTCTTATCAATTTTACTTTAAGGGAGGCATTGTTGTCTTTTCTGTTATGCGACAGCAAGTGAAATGAAATGTGGTAAACATGAAAATCCTGAAATAAAAGATCGTACCTTGGAAGATTTATTTTCTGATCATAAAAAATTTATAGAAAGTGGAGGCTTAAAGAAAAATGTTAAGAATTTTTGACAATGTTATTGAAAAACCAATTTTGAAAATACCCCTTGATCAAGTAATGTTGTTTTTATTTGTTATATTAACTTTGCAGTATGGCTTTGTAATAGTAGGTTTTTAGTCATGTACCTTCGATATATATTTTTAGGTATCTTTACCTAGTCTCCACATGGCTCTTGGTATTTATTTAAATTTTTTTAATTTGTTTGAAGAAGAAGTGCATTAGCTGGATATTTTAATTGCTGCAGAAACATTAAAAAGCAACATTAATTTTTCAGAAGAATATACAGTTTTTGTATCAAAACAAAAACAGCTGTTAAATCTACAAGCTGAAATTCTTAAACTTGACGATCAAATCCATTTAATCAATGATGTTGTTTTGTTAGCAGCTGTTAACAATTCTGATAGTTTTGAAAATATTCAATCTCTATACTTCACAGAAATTGATTTGCTTAATAGTGAAAAAGCAAAAAAGGTTTAACAATATTGATTTTTTATTATTATGATTTATTGATTTGGTATTATTATGTTTAGAGGTTTATGTAAAAGGGTATTTGTGTTTGTAAATAGAATAAAGTTTTAATGGTGTAAACTGGTTAAAACAAAAAAGTTTTGCAAACATCTATATGCTGGAAATTAATTGTAGAATGTTTTTACATCAACAAGTGTGAATGTATTTAAGATACTTGTTTGCAAGTTTTTAATCAAGGAATCTTGCTGTACACCTAAACTGTACACCTAAACTCACACATTTTGTGTGTGAGTTTAGGTAAACAGTTTACAGATCAACATTCACTAAGTTGGTGATTTAAATGTCAATCCTTTCCTACACAGAATAGTCTTGTTATTACTGAATATACAATATTATAATTTATGCAGTTTTTTTGGTTTATTTTATCCCTACTTTTTTTATTTTTTTTTAGACGACTCTATATAATACTCTGCTTGGAAAGCAATCATTAGGGTTGGACCAGAGTCCATGCACAAAAATGATCGAGACTATACTGCAAAAGCTGAAAGTACAACGTCAAGCGTATTACAGAAAAAATTTTGTGGGAAACCATGTGCATAAAATGCTAAAAGTAATTTTCATGAACTACTATCTCTTTCATAAATTATTTTCTATAAGGGCTGTCCGTTAATTATGTCAACAAAATAAGGGGGGGGGGGTGTTCTGAATTTTTTTGACAATTTTTGACTCAGGGGAGGTAGGGAGGTCAAGTAAAGTTAACGATGACATAGTTATTATTTTTCTTAGTTGCATAGCTTAAAAAACGGAAAATTAGGCTGCGTTTGTAGTGTAGATTTTTTATTCGGGACGGGGGGGATCATAATTTGACGTAATTTAAAAAAATTAAAGGTAAAAATTTGGTTGACTTAATTAATGGGCCTATATTTGTAGAGCTAATGAAGTAATAAAATTTATTCACAATAAGTTAAATATTTAGTTAAAAAAAAATTATATGAAATTAAAATAAATCTTTAATTATGATATTTAATGTTTTCAAAAAAGGCAAATGCTTTTAGCAAGATGCTTTTTTGAAGTTAACCTATTAACTTTTACAGAAAAGGACTGAGTATTTTTATTCTGATATCATCACGAGAGAGATTTTGAAATTAACACTAGAGGTTTGTGACCTCCTCCTCCTTATATCCTCTGTTATATCTCTCCTTATATCCTCCTCCACCCATTCCCTCATGATTCCTTCATTTAAGTTTTAAGGATTTTATACCATTATTTTCTTCTCATACGTAAGTTACCTTCACCACGACTAAAAAGCCTCATTTTTATGACTAAAGGGGAAAGGGAGAGGGGTCGACAAACCGGGAAAAATCTCTGACATCATTTATGGACGGCTCCTAAGCAAAGTAGCTTAGCATTTTTATAATTAACTTATAATAAATATTTAACTGTTTATAAACAAGATTAAAAATAAATTTGCTATTTAGAAATCTTCAATACTTCAGCTATGTAACTGTATACCGAAGCTTGTTCATAAAGAAGGATATTCAGGAACAAACGTGCACCTGTTAGCAGTTGATATTAGCAATAAATATAAACAACTATTTGATAAATTTGCCTAGTGCTACAAAATATTTTCTTCAAGAAGTATAGTTACACCAGAAGATTTAATTCTTTTAAGTAAGTTTCATTAAATAAAATATTTTGAAATAAGTGTTTAAGTATACTTATTGGTTTTTTTATAATTGTTCTTTTAAATTTTTTTAGAAAAAAATATAAAAAGTTTAATGCAATTTTATCGTGCGAATTGGCCCGAGGCTTCAGTTACACCTAAGTTGCATATGTTAGAACATCATGCTGTTCCGTTTTTGAAGAAATGGGGAGCGGGATTCGGCTTTTATGGAGAACAAGGCGGAGAATCGATCCATATGGAGTTTAACAAACTCAAAACTATTTATCAATCGATTCCTTGCCCGACAATCCGATTAAAAAGTATTCTCAAATCTCATTATCAAAAAACTAACCCAGAGAATATTCGTCTTAAGCCCCCTGTGAAAAAAAGAATATTTAGTAAGAAAGTTCCTAAATGATTTCGCCAAGAAAGGAGTATCGATTTATCGATCATCTTATTCATACAATATGTGTAACAATTAAAAGCCTCCGAAAGAAGAACAAAGAAAAACGGCTATTTTCATAGCCACAAACATATTAAAAGCATTATTTAGTATAAAATAAATTTTAATCGGCGGTTAACAGTTTATTGTTTTTTAACACACCCATGCATACCAGACATTGGATATTCATTAGAATCCCGTTGACTCGGATCCTGGATAAGTCAGACAGATTTTCCATTCTCCTTGAACATATTAAAAGCATTATTTAGTATAAAATAAATTTTAATCGGCGGTAAACAGTTTATTGTTTTTTTAACACACCCATGCATACCAGACATTGGATATTCATTAGAATCCCGTTGACTCGGATCCTGGATAAGTCAGACAGATTTTCCATTCTCCTTAAACAAAATACAAAAAATACATACATTCCGAAAGTATGCATATAGAGAACTCTTTATACTTAACTCGGATATTCGCTAAATTAGATTATCTATTCCCCTCAAAACCTTTTATTGAGTAACATTCAAATCACTGGGAAGGGATTAGGAAAGTTATTTGGCCCAGGCCTTCAGTTGCAAAAGGGCTACAAATGTTGATATCACAAATCGAGGTTTTTTTTAGTCTTCAAATACCCATTTGGTTAACCAAGGTTAGGTTTTATATATATAATTTTGCGTATTTACTGTTTTTATATACAATATATATATTTTGAAGTTTTGAAACGACGCAAGCCTCTTGTAAGTACTTATATATTTAGAATCCGCTGGTTTTCTTTGCTTAAATAATATTTCGAAATCATAAAAAAATGCGTTAACGATTAAGTTTTTTTTTTTTATCTTATTACAGAGCACCATGGAGAATACTATTTAAGAGATTGGCTCTCCTTTTTCAACCTTACCAAAAATGTTTTTGTGCCAAGGCGGGAGAGCCCAAATGCTACGGCTGCTTAATTTATTGTCAATAAAATAGCTACAGTGTTATTATAAGTATTTACATATTTTTTTAAATATAAATATTGTCTAACTAGAAACCAAGATTAGCGTCGCAGAGGCGTAACCAGGGCGAGAATTAAGTTACAGGGTTATTCATTCTTATATGCGCGTCTATTCATTTTTATATGCGCCTTTATTCATTCTTATATGCGCATTTATTCATTTTTATATGCGCCTTTATTCATTCTTAAATGCGCATTTATTCATTCTTATATGCGCATTTATTCATTTTTATGTGGTTTACAAAAGCAATTGTAATAAAACAAAATTTGTACCAAAAAAAATCATTTAATAAAATCATTGATAAAACAGTTTATTATTTCAAATCAAATTTTTCTTATTTCCTGGTAAACGAGTTTAAAAATACTTATAAGACAAAGACTTTTTACATTCGATGATGGTTTATTTATAACTTAGTATTAGTTTTTAGTTTAATTTTATTACATTATATTAAATTGTATTATTGTATTAAATTTCTTGATTGATTAAGTTATTTTTTATCTAATTATTTATTTTTCTAGATTTATTATTTAATTATTTAAAATTATTAATATCAAATTTTTGCCCTATGGATGGAATAGAAAATAATCGTAAAACAAGGAAAAATGTTACAAAAGAGCACATTGAAATGCTTAAACATTTAGTTGAAAGAAATCAATCTACAACAAGCATTTCCACTTTTCTTAATTTATCGAAGCGCACAGTTCAAAATCTTGTCGTTAAGTTAAACAGAGGAGAATTCGACGACATGACTGCATTCAAGTCGTCTTCTGATAAAAAACGAGGTGAAAGACCTATAAACGCTCAAATAAAATAATATTATCGAATTATGCGTACAAGAAAACAATCTTTGCACGCAAGAAACAATAAAAGAAAATCTTTCTGCAGCAGGCTTCAACATGTCTCAGCCTACTATTTCAAGAAAACTCAAACGCTCGGATTTATCAAGAAAACGTGTTGTGCATGTGCTAGAAGAACGAAATTCAACACGAATTATTAATGCACGCTATGCATTTGCAAGCGAAATTAACGGAATTTCAGATGAAAAATTATTTATTTGGATGTTTCTTTAACCTAAAAGTCTTAATTTTTTTCCTATTAGTAGTCCATAAATTTATTTGTATTTTTAGAGCTCTTGGATATCAAAAACTTGGATGAAGTAATCTTTTTGTGACTTTCAAATCCCGGAGTCCTTTTTTGGACTCCGCATCCTTGATACATATATATATATATAGATATATATATATATATATATATATATATATATATATATATATATATATATATATATATATATATATATATATATATATATATATATATACATATATATATATATATATACATATATATATATATATATATATATGTATATATATATATATATATATATATATATATATATATATATATATATATATATATATATATATATATATATATATATATATATTCCATAGACGACATAAAAAAACGACATATAAAAAAATCGTCTTAAAAAAAATTGAGTGCAAAGGTCTGAAAATAAAATAAAATGCATTGAGAATTTATCTGATTTAAAAAAAAAAAAAATTAAATCATTTGTACGCTCAGATTTTTAGATAATTTGTTTTTAAAAGCATAAACAAATGGCGCCTAATCTAGAATGGTAATTTTCTTAGAAAAGCACAACTTTAAACTTTTTGATGAATTCTTTATCTTATTTTAGTAATTTTTTCAATCATCTAAGTTAATTCTATTGTGATTTCAGTTATAGAAAAATTTAAAAATGTTTATTTAAATGGAAAAGTAGATATTTAAAAAGTACCATAAATAAAAACACTTTGTAACTACGATCCGTAGCCATTATTAATATTCAATTTATTTCTAACTATTACTGCGCTTGCGTATAATAACTTGTCCCTTTTAAATGACCATGAAAGTTAACTTATTTTTATTTCAATCTTTTTGAATTGTTATTTTTTTAACAATTTTCTTACTTTGTTGATTTCCATGTTTTTAATCCTGTGGTGGTGGATGCAAATTAAAAAAAAGAACTTTTTTTTTTTAGTTTATAATAGAAAAATTATTTTTATAATTTTTTTTTAAGTTTATTAAATTGATATTTTAACCTTAAATTGTATGCAGAATCTTCTGCGTACAAGAAATATCATAATGCATAAATCGGGAGCACAAAAAAGTAAAGAAAAAAAGAAACGCATGCTCGAAAAAAGAAAACACTTTTTTATTTAGATCAAAAAGAAAAAACGAATTAAATTAGAAACAAATACTGAATACGAATTAGAAATAAATCCTAATATAAATTTGGAAAAAGAGAAAAATGAAAATGGCATTTATGAACCAATTAGCCATGGCAAAAATAAAATAGCAACTAGTGAAGAAAAAAAAAAGAAATAAAAAACTTAGACCCTTTTACAAATATGATTGACATAGATATTGATTCAGAACCTGGAACTGGTGCTACAGAAAATTCTAAATTGTGGAGTGATTCACTTCATCAAATTCATTCAACCAAGTACAAAACTTGACATTGGATTCATCACAGCAGAATTTCCTTTCCAATCAGAAAGAAATAATTTTGTTGCCAAAGGTCATATTGAATTTCCTTTAAATTGCCAAAACATGATAACAATCAAATATTTCCTGAAGGTATTTTACGTTTAGAAACATTAATGCAGAACAGCGTACCCGAAACTGGCTTTATGGAGCTAGCATAAAACTTCTTTAATTATTTTTGTAAAAATATAAATAAACTTATAATTATAACTTTGTAAAAAATTATAAATTGTAACACGGTGCTTGGCGATAAGGCAAATTAATGCCTTCTTCTTGCTTCGGCCTTTAACTTAATTGTAAATTTTTGTAAACTGTAATACTTATTAAACGGCAAAAATATAATGTTAAAAAATATATATATATTTTTTTCTTTAAAATCTTTATTTCTTTTTTTTTATAAAGAATCCTATTTAGCGTGGGGTACACGTGTACATATACATTTACAATATACATTATACAATATACACACGGTTTTTACTCTATGATTAAAAACCAAGCCCTCAAAGAAAAAAAAAAAAGATTTTAAGCCAAAAATATTTGAATTTTGAATTTTGAATTTTGAAAATTTGTTTTAAAAATAATTTTTTCAAAAATTTGTTTTAAAAATAATTTTTTCAAAAATTTGTTTTAAAAATAATTTTTTCAAAAATTTGTTTTAAAAATAATTTTTTCAAAAATTTGTTTTAAAAATAATTTTTTCAAAAATTTGTTTTAAAAATAATTTTTTCAAAAATTTGTTTTAAAAATAATTTTTTCAAAAACTTGTTTCAAAAATAAATTTTTTCAATATGGTTAAAAGTTAAAAGTAAAAAAAATAAAAAAATTTATTTTATAAAAATATATTTTTTATTTTTGAGCTAACTTACCCTGTGAAAATTTTGCCAACTTACCCCGAAAACCTTTTTTTAATAAACAGTCTATAGATCCTGAAAAACTTTGAAAAAAAGTCTGACTGGAAATAATAAACCAATTGTGACTGGAATTTTTTCAATGAGTTTTTATTTTCATACGACAAACTATTTTCTTTGTAAAGTAAATTGGAAGCGATGTTCCAAAAGTTACATTTTTGTCCGAAAAATACATAAATCTTAATATCTCCCATGCGTATGAGCAAATCCTAACAATACTATAGTAAATAATGAAATGGTACATTTTTTTTTTTTTTTTTTGTTATTTAGGTGTCCCAAGAAGACCTAACGGTCTTGTCACAGAACACCGCGGAAGTGCATTTAAACTGGAAGTTCACGCCTCCTCCCGACCTTGACGCGAATATATGTCCAGAGCTCGTTTCGAACCTGGATCTCCTGCTTATAAAGCAAGCGCTGTAACAACTGCGCCACAACAATTAGGAAGGTTCTGTGTGGTATTTGTCACTTTTTGATGTAAGGCTCTGAAGATAAACGCAGTTTGTCAACTTACCCATGCTGCAAACTAGTCCCGGTCTCCACTATACTTAAAAACTTGTTTTATAGTAATATTTATTGGTTTTGCAAATTATAAATAAATCAACTCAGCTACAGAAAAATGCAATCTCTCCTTCCTTTTCCATTTCGACTCAACTATAAATCTAAAATAAAAACAAAAAAACAAAAAGTTTTTGAGTAAGAAAAGATTTTTATATTTAACAAAGAAATAAATTATGAAAAACACTCATAATGTGCAATCGTTACCTTAAAGTTGTTAATCAATATAACTGATTTAACTAAGGCCAGGCAAAAAATTCTTTTGAGCAAATACATGCTACAAATAGAAAACTAAATTAAAGTACAATGCAAATTGAGGTTTTAAAGTGCAGCGTAAGCAAACTTAGTTTGTTTGTCATTGTAATGGTGATAACTGGATTTTCTTTTTTATGCCATTGTTAGCGCCATATTCCATTACTCCTAAATTTAATGTTAGATTTTCTTATTAACAATTTCTTTAATATCAAATTCCAATAATCAATTACTAAATTTAACTTTATTTACTAAAATAACTCAACAACTTAACAAAAAAATCTAATTTTTCTTTTCTTATCTATTATGAAAATTTAATTTATCAATTATTATTTTTATTTAATATAAAACCATTTCAAAAATCAAATTTAAAATATAATTAAGATACATACTTAGATCCTGTATTATTCCCTTATTACTTTAATAGACTATAATAAAATGCGGTTAAATGAATTTAAAAAGTATGATATTTCATATTTTTTAAACTTATTTAACCGCATTTTGTTATAGTTATTATATTTTTGAAAAGGTTTTGTGTATTTTAAAATGACGTGTTTAAATTAAGTGTTTATAATATAAAAGAAAACTGTATACAGTTTTATAATTTAAAAATATATATTTAAATAAATAAAAAAAAAGAAGGGAGAAGTAATGATGCAGCAAACTTAAACACGTCATTTTAGAATACACTTAACCTTTTCAAAAAATATTTATATTTTAAAATAAGGCGCAGTGTATACTTTTAACCAAGCAAACAAAGTTTCGTTGACTTTATGAATGATGAAAACAAATTTCAATTATATGTTTTAGAAACTGTAAATAATATACTAAAAAAATTTTGTAACGTCAAAAGTAAACTTTTTAAACAAACGCAAATAAACTCGTTTGGCTTATTGTTAGACACAAACGATTTTTAACTTTATTTTAAAAAATAATTTGCTTCAAGCATGAGACCTCTATTAGACCATAAAACAATAAAGTGGAAAGTTTGAAAGTTACAAGTGTATTCTATTTTTTTTTTTTTTTTTTACATATTTGTTTTGAAACATAAACTAAAGTGAATTATCATTAACGAATTTTTAAAACGAGCGTTGGTGTACAGCATTTTATGCGTATTTTCATATATAATGAAATGTAAATAATTTGTTTTTTAATTTTTATAATTTTTTAGGCATATTTGGGTCCTGTAAAAACGGGTAGTTTCAATTATTATTTTTATTTAATATAAAACCATTTCAAAAATCAAATTTAAAATATAATTAAGATTATATTTTAATTATAAACTTTTTTATTTTTGAAATGAGTTCTGATTTGCTTATAAACTATCTACTCCAGCTTGAAGCAACTTTTAATACGAAATATTGCAACCTACTCTAAATATTTCAAAACAGAAATTCAAAAAACTTGAAAAAAAAAAATACTTCTTTGGTTATACAGATAGATATAAAAAGTATTAAAAATAAGATTTCGAAAAACTATAAAACTTTCAAATTAATTGCAATTATTTATTCAATAAATAAGTTGCGGAACAGAAACTTTTGTGACAAATCAATTGCAAGTATTTCTCACTTTTAAATCCCAAAATATAAAATAATATCTTCTATAAGAAAAGGACCCTCCTTTCCTCCTCTTATAGAAGATTTGAATTGAAATTTGAATTTTGGAATGATCAAGCTCTGATACTAAAGTCTTTAAAATAGAAATGGCCATTACCAAATTTAAAAATACTTTTTAAATGAAGTTCTCCATAATTTAGTAAAAGAAAATTCTTTCTAAAAATCAATAAAGAAAAAAAAAGTTATTCTAAATTAGATATCTAAACATAAGTTTCTTAAAATAAAACTGGATTTAAACAAAGTAAATTCAAAAATCTTTTAAGATAAAGCCTTTTAGCTCTGTATTTTTCTTATCGTCAACAAGCTCGCAAATATGACCTAAAAATCCAGTATATTGAAGCTTTGAATCTTTTGTTTAGCAGTGACAATAATGATGCTGTGATATAATAATATTTATGATACTGTGTACAGTGTTATGGTAATATAAACTTCTTAGCAGTTAAACAAAATTATAAAGCTATCAAAGATATTTTTGTATTCAGATAAAAATTATTAAATGCAGATAACAAATTTTTATTATGCAAATAATTGTCATGTTAAACAAAAGATTCAAAGTTTCAATAACCTGAATTTTGAGGTTATATTTTTAACGTTAATTTTAAGGTTTACATTTTTAACGTACACGTTAAAAATGTAAACTACTACCGTAATTTTTTGCTTTACGCGCTATTGGGATTATGTCGAATCTTGGTAAATGAAGATTTTGCGTCATTAATATTACACCACGTTTCAGTTACGCATTTTATACTAAATTTGCCTTTTGAAGTTTCCTATATTAAAGTGATAAGTTTTTAAAACTCTTTTGAGACTTTTAATACTGAAACATTTAAATGATGCCGCTTTCTTTTGTTTCTTTGTAACAAAGTTAGAAACAAAAGTTTTAAATATAATAAGTAAAACTAAGAAACACTCATTTAAGCCAGACCTTGCTTTGTTGCGTTATGCCAAAACAGTGGTGTCATTCTTTAAATATAATTCCATAAATTATGTGGCCAAACTGGGCAACCCACAAATCATCTCAAAATGTTGCCTAATCGAGGTTTTTAGCAGAATTTTTAGAAAAACGATCTATGAAAAAAACTGGCAATCAAAAAATCGGAAGAATAAATAGGGTAGATTTTTATTGAACACCCATTAAACTAACATTTACTTCGTATAAGACGTTTCTAATACGTCTTTTAAACGTATTTGACAAATTTTACGCTTAAAAGACGTCTTTTTTAGACCGAATTTTTGCTGGGTAAATACATTAAAAATAATAATAGGATAAATAAATATTCTTTACATAAGTAATATATAGAGATTTTATTAAAGAAGAGTTGACGATATTATTTATCAACCTGAGTAATAATACTTGAGATGCATTTGCAATTTTATGCTTTACTTTTGCTGTTATTTTTAGTAGTAGTAATAATTTTAAAAACAGTATTACGTATAGGTTGATAAGTTTTTTTTTCATATATGAGTGTCATTATATATGTCAAATAACTAGTTTCGAACTCGTTTGGTTTAGCCTCTTGAGACTCCGGAATACTAGGCCGGCCTATTTGTAGTTCCATATGTTAGTTTAAGTTGTGACAGAGATTAAAAGTTAAACAAACATGAGTTTTAATAAATTTTGTTTGTAACAATTTTGGAAACAATTTTCAAACACATCAAAAGCAAGTTTAAAACGTATATCTTTTATTTAATTTTTGAACGTTGATATTTTGTTTCCTTTATCTTTATTACTGAAATGAATTTGATCAAACTATTTGTATTTGTTTTGGTATTAATTGGTAGTCTAATGATCAATTCAGTAGATTCAGAGGTATTTTATTTCAGTGAAAGTTTTTTTTTTGTTTGTTTTAGAAAAACTGTAAATTATTTTCTCACTGGTTTTATTGTAATACCCAAAAATATTGACTCACTATTGTATAATATCAAATTATAATATTAAAAATGTATTTCAGTGCTGCAAACATGCTTGTTGCGGAAATTTCCGCTGCTGTGGAAGCGGCAGATGCAACATATTTTGTTGCAACTGCAATAACGACAGCCGTGGTTGTCTTTCTTGTACAAAAACTCTATTTCAAACAATGTTCGGAGTTTTTTCATGCGTTGGATGTGCTAAAGGTAAAATTACGTCTTGCATAAAATGTGTACGTGCTGGAAAAAAGAGACGTGACGTATCATATCTAAGAGAGAGGTATTTAACGCTTATTTCCTATTTGCACGTTATAAAAATTTAGTCATCATTAATTATAATAATTTAAAAGTAATATAAGTGTTAATAACAATAAATTGTTATAAATAAAAGTAAACATTATTTTTAAAATTATTTGTTACATTACAGAACTGCACAATCGATAATGGAGGAGGCTGACGAAAATCAAGATGGTTTTATGGATGTTTTAGAAGCAGCTGAATTTCTGGCAGCTGATAACAAACTCCACATTAATGAAGTTGAAATGGCAAAAAAGAGTGCTGACTACATACCAAATTGGTTCCTTCATATGGATGCAAACAAAGATGGACTTATTGCGCTTCATGAATTGGATAGTTTAGAGTAGTTTATATCTAAATGCTAAGAGTTTTTAAAAACCGTACTTTTACTAGTTTTTTTAATATAAATTTTGAGACAAATGTTTCGTTTAATTTAATTTTTTCTTATTAAGTTTAAATAAAGTAAATCTAAACTTAAATTTAAATATTTCAAATATTTAAAACAAAGCGGAGGAGATTTGTTGTTGTTCTGTGTGATTATGATGTTGTCCTTACAATCTTATCTTATAGCACCGCGCAGGACATTTAACTAGGAAGTTCACGCCTCCTTACTTACCAATGTCGTTTAATAGGCAAAAGTTGGGGTCAATCCTCGGACCTTTCTGCGTTGAGTCAGAACTCCAGCCACTGCATTACAGCGGATAATCTAAGTTTATGATCGGCTAAGATTGGATCCTTTTTTTTCCTCTAGTAAAAGTTTATAAATAGTAAATCACGATGGTATAAAGCTTGTATAAAAAAATAATAATGTTAATAATAATAATAACAATAATAAAAATAATAATAACAAAGTTACCGTTAAAATTGCCAAAACGTCCTAATTTTACCTAGCCATTCTATTAAAAGTTATTTAAATATGCAATGATTTTACAAAAAATTACAAAAATTCTTTGAACAAAGTTAAACTTTCCAAATTAAAAACTAATATATTCTGTAGAGTATAATCAATCTTACATTATAAATAGAAGAAAATTAATTAAAAATTTAAAATAAAAAAAAAATATAACAGTTGGTTGTAGTTAGTTAAACCATCATTGATCAATATCAGGGATGTTCTCTTTAATTGTTCAGAAGAATGCCTAATTACTCTCCCAATAACTTGCATAGCACCCATTTTGGTTAAGTTTTTGATTGACTTTAAAGCAGCATCTAATAAAAACAACAACACATAGTTCAATAAGATCATATAAAAAAATATACTTAAATAGATGTCATGTTCCATTGTCAAAGATATTTAAAAAAATTAATTTTTTTATTAAAACATCGTTTTTAATTTAAAAATTAATCCAACACAGCATTAAGCTAATGAGAATACCAGTGATAATATTTTATAGACTTGTCAACTCCTAAAATTTTCCTTTTTCTTTAAACCATTCATGCTGTATTCTGACAATATATTGTCTGTTGAAAATCTACATATGTAAAAATGCTTTTTTACGCGGCGATTTTATTTATACTTAATGAGCTGAATTGATTTTTTATATGACTTGAGGGTCTGTGAGGGAAAACGTATAATCTTTATTGTTTCGTTTATTGGTGAAATTGAGTGTTATTTATGGACGATCCCTAAACTACAAAGATTAAATTCAAGCATACAAAATTGATGTATTTGGTATCACCATTTACAACTTTTCTTTTCAAAACATTAAGTTCATCTGAACTTTTACGTTGCTCAAAACTTTCTTCTCGTCCTTAGAAAACTGTGCAGTTCTATCTGTCAACATGTTTTTTATTTCAGAAAGTTGGAACGTAGTCTTTCTCTAAAACTCTGAAAGGTATAATTTATAAGTGAAGATATAAAACATATATACATATAAAACATAGTACTTTCTAAATATGGTTGGAAAGAGGTCGAGTTAAACTAAATAATGCAAAATTTCAAAAAAGATATAAGCAAGTAAAGTTATGTATATATATATATATATATATATATATATGTTTGTTTTTTTTTAATTTTTTTATTCCTACTCACTATTTTTCGTCTTCTAACTATCAATAAGTATCCATTACAAAATATTGCATCGATTAAAAGTCAATCAAAAATATCCATTAAATTGTTTAACCAACTTTAACACTTATCCGAAGTAGTTAGTTAACCAACTTTAACACTTATCTGAAGCATGTAACTTAAGTCCAACATCAGCCATCTAATTAGAATCTTAACATTTTGAAATGTCCTCCAACGAATTGTACGAAACATTGTCCATTTTACCTTCATTAAACCCAATAGACCTGCTTGAATATTGGCCGGGTCCTGGAAAAGGCAAGGCTGCTGATCTGCCTAAAAGATGTGACGCCATGATCCGCTTCCTAGCTACAACAGCCAAGCTACTGCTCAAAAAAGTAGCAGTCCTTGAAAAAACCAACACCAACCTGCAAATTCAACTTACCAACCGCTAACCATCGGCAGATTATCCGTCCGTTTCTCAACCAATATTAAAATCTTTTGCCTCGCAACTAGCAAAACGGGATCAACCACAAATAATGCCATTATAAATGCCGTGAACATAAACGCCATGCTTTAAAAGTCAAAAGCTAAGAGAGCCATAATCACCGGAAATCCCAACGCAGCTAGTACCGATGCTTCCGTCGTCGATCAATCGGTAAAGGATATTTTACATGTATATTACCCTGCGTTCTTCAAAGTTGTAGGTCGCATTCCTGCCGCTAACTCTAACAAAAATAACAAATTGCCGCAAAATACTAGATCATCTACTTCTTTATCTGCCACTGCCCTAACTCAACCAGCTCCACCGTCTCTTGTTATCTAGTTCGCAACTAATGAAACTTGTAACGGCCTTCTAGGAACCGTAAAAAACCTTGCCACCATACAAAAGTGTTTTCATACGGCCAGATAGAACTCCTTCAGAGCAAGATCTCATAAACAAGTTAAACAATGAAAAGTTTAAGCTTAACAACGGCCTTAAAGCAAACAGTACACTCAACCAGCTCTTTTGTTTTGTCATCCACAGCAACAAAGTCAAATGTTTTGATGTCAGCAAAAAAATCAACATCAACGGTTTGGAAAAACACCTATTCATCAACTGGAAAAAAGCACTTACTGCAATCAAATCCAACCAATGAGAAGTTGTGACAATCAACACCTGACCGTTCCCATATAACCAATAGCTCGCCTTCTCCCACTTCACAAAAAATGTTTCCAAACTGTTACTAAATTGCTTCTACACATACGCCATATCTCTAAATCCTACTCAACTCAACGAAACTGAATTAGCAACGCCCCTCTACCATTTTCATCACTGAAAGCTGGTTTGACGAATCCTCAGCTCCTGCTCTTCCTAACTACAATATCTTTATAAAAGATTGCTTTAGTCATGGAGGAGGAGTAGCCATATACGTCAAGAATACCATTAACACCTGCAAAATTAACTATTCTTAACTTCACAACGGTTTCCAAAACAATTTTTGAGAACAGATTTAGATTGAAGTTAAGCTCCCACAAGAATCTCTTTTAATTGGCTGCAAGAATCTCTTTTAATTGGCTGTCTAATTATCATCGGTGTCTTTAACTTTCCCAACGTCATATGGCATAACGATTGGACCTATACCACCTATACCTGAAATTAGTTTTAGCACTAAATTTGCCTAAATGATTTTTCCCTACATTTACACCAGCACGTAATCAATCCCATCTTCATCCAAGCTAACGGTCTGTTCAATAATACACTAAAGACTTGTAAAAAATACACAAATACAAAAATACACTACAGACCTGAAAAAAAAATACACTGTAGACTTCGTAATTACCAAAGCGACCCAGCGAACAAGCCACATCACTATTGGTCCTCCTCTTGGTAGTACCTCACAGGGTCATTGCACTCTGACATGGCAACACCAGCTAGCCAAAAACGTCTACAACTCTCCCTATTTTAACAGCTCAAAATTTATAAACAGGAGAGATAATTACGGGAATCTAAACAAGAAACTGTTCTAAGTTGATTGGATCAGTCTATTTAAAGACCGATATGCCGACGAATGCTATCAAATCTTCTGCGATAACTATATCAAATGCTGTGAAGAATTTATTCCCCGTGCCACCTCCAAACCAACCAAACGCAGGCAGCTTTGGATAACTAGTGAACTTCTCTTACTAATTAAACGTAAGAAAAAAGTTTGATACCTAAACCACAATAGTAAATGGCGAAATATCCCTCTTGTTAAAGAGTAACTCTTGTTAAAGAGTAACTAACTCAAAACCTTGTGAAAAAAGCTTTTAGCATTGCCATTAGATCATTTGAACGTAACTTAGCAAACAATAAATAGAACCCCAAGCGTCTATACGCCTATGTGAACAATAAACGCGCCGTCAGTAACCAAATAACTTCTATGTGCTCACCTTCTTGGGAAATAAGCAGAGACCGGGCATCCATAGCGAATATACTTAACCGTCAATTTCAGTCAGTATTCACAAACGAACCATCAGGTCAACCGCTACCTCCCTTTGTCAACCGTACAACCGCTTTAATCTGCTCCGTTTTCAGCTACAATTCTGTTAACAAAAACTGGAGATGACCGTATCAGTCCATTTGTGCTTAAATTATGTACGATGCAACGGCTCGCCATCATTTTTCAGAAATTGATAGATCAAGGTGTATTACTAAAAGCCTGGTTTTTGGCAAACGTGACGCCACTGTTCAAAAAAGGCACCAGGCTCGGTATGCAGAAAATACCAAAATCCTGAGCGTCCTCAAAACCGCTGAAGACAAAGCTTGTCTGCAATCCGATATGGATAGCATCGTCACCTGGACTCAAACCTGGTTGATGGAGCTCAACGTCAAGAAATGTAAAGTCATGTATTTTAGCAAGTATAACACTTCTCCAAACATTTACTAAACGACAATGTCACTAGAACTTAACTCGAATCATCAACCTGCGAAAAGGACATTGGAGTTCAAATATCAAACAACCTTAAATATGAGAGGCAAGCAAAAGTTGCCGCTGCCAAGGCTCATATAGTTCTGGGAATGTTAAAAAACACATTCATTAGCAGTGATGCCAAAGTATGGAAACAACTTTACACCATCTATAAGGCCCACATCTCGAGTTTGCAGCTACTGCCTGGTCCTCTTACTTCGAAAAAGACAGAGACATCATAGAACGCATCCAATATTGGGCTATCAAAGCACCACACAAATTAAAGCGCTTCGACTACAATACGAGATGCATCAAACTCGGCCTCACTTTTCTACACGACAGATGTTTACACGGTTCAGTCAGCTGGCATATTGTTCCACCTAGCATCCCTCCAAGATACGGCCATCGCAAGTGCTTTAACCATGAAATGGATCACAACTGCCTCGTTCGTTTCAACTTTTTCATTAACCGCGTTGCTAACCCAT